ATAACGAGAAAGAAAGAAAGAAAGAAAAAAGTTCACTATTGTATTAAATAAACTTGTATATTTATTAATTTAGAACCAGCAGCGTTCAAATTTTTATTTTTATTAATGACAAATCATGAATGGAGAGTCTAAAAAGTTCAATTGTGTTTATAAAATGATCCTATTAATTAACAGAGAATTTAACTAATTAAATTCGATCAATCATTACTGTTGATAAAATTCTCATTGATTATTGTAATTTTTATAGTTGAAAGAACCGTGAATTGGGAGAATCAATAACGAAATAACGACAATTATAAAGAATACACGACGTTATCTATGTGAAACTTGAAAAACTATATGGACTTTGAGTAGCACGATTCACAATAATGTCACACTGGTCAAAGTATTAATCTTATCATTAATTTGAATAAAATATATATTTTTAACATGAATAATGGAACGATGGAAGATCAACGAGCACCGCCCCTACGTATTCAATCTTACTAAAAAGAGTACTTGAAATGTTGAAAATTTCGTTTAAATGTATAAAATGTGTCATAAGCAAGATCTTGGAAAACGTACAGTCATCGTCTCATAAATCATAAATAGAGTGCGTTTAATTAACGATAATATCGGATTTTTCACTCACAACACTTAAAACACAAATGATTTATTCGATATCCCGGAAGTCTCGTATCGTATATCACGTTCAATGTTATTCCTTTCGTTACCTAAATGTAATAATAGCTCGTTGAGTGTGCGGTGAGGAGTTTCGTAGAAAAGAACTTTTCTGCTTTATAGTCGGTAAAGTGGAATTTTTACATATTTTATACGTAAATATTGCAATTTAGTAAACGAATATTCTCGTAGCCGTCCAAGATATTGTAATATCTTCCTCACATTATTCGATTGCGAATAGTAATGACAAGGTAGAATTATTCCAAGGATCGCGTGTGCAACATTGCATGCAATTTCAAACATAATTTCATAAAGAATTTCTTAGCCATTGAAATCTATACGCATATCTAATTACAGTCCCAATGCAGTCAGTCAATTCGGCTTCAATTCGGCTTCAATTCGGCTTCAATTCGCCTTCAATTCGACTTCAAGTCGGCTTCAATTCGCCTTCAATTCGACTTCATGTCGGCTCATTACAATACCTTAGGTATTTATAAAAAGCCGTATATTTTGAACATAGTCCCCCCTCCATAAAATATCCCTGTTGGTCTATGGTATTTCAGAGACCGTTCACTTACATCGTAGCGTTCATGGGTAAATCGAAGCTCGCAAACAAAGAGAAAATTGCATTCGCGAGTCACCAACATAGCTACCATCAATGCTCCTCGCACGATCATCGTCCATTAATTTTGCCTGGTATTTGTCGGGTCTCCGAGACAAGATTATTTTTTGGGTGTATGTAGATTGTAATGTCGAAGGTGTATTTTTCAGGACGATCTTATGTCCTTTCGCCCCTCAAGACCAAACCACAGCGTACGGCGGATAGAAAGAGACGTAATTATTAATCCGAGCGCTGGTCAAGGCGACTCGACTGCCTCTCTGGACTCCGTGTCTATCCGTACGCCTAACATTCTCTCTCTCTCTCTCTCTCTCTTACACACACACACACACACACACACACACACACACACACACACAGAGAGAGAGAGAGAGAGAGAGAGAGAGTGCTATCCTTTAACTGCTCTTACGAATTTTCATTTTCAGTTGATATCTCAATGTTTTGCAAGCTTTCGTGCCCTTTTATTATTTATCTATGCTCTTACTCGCAAGCAATATAGTGATAATAATAGACTCTAACAGTGAATTAGGCCGGATGTTGAAACGCCAAGCCCTCCCCCGTCTTCCCGCCAATACTCACACCACGACCTTTTTTGCCTAGTTAGTTAAAGCTATGTGCTTGACTCGAGACCGGCGACTTTAAACGAGTCTTTTGTGCAAATCCACCGCTCGTTATAATTGACAATACATGCATGCATACATACATACGTACGAGGCCGACGCGAGAGGACAATTTACGATATTAAATCGGCGTCCGTCAGTCCAACCAACTTTTACCATAATCTAATACATTATTAATCGTTCGTTTCTATCGTAGGCTTCAACGCTCTATCACGATGGCATTTAATTATCAATGACCTTGGAATTCGGCAATGCACTGCACGTACGTATAGCAAAATTTTTGGCAAATTAACTTCAACACGTTTCGCACACCATAATGCGAACTATTCGGGAGATTAAATCAAGAATATGCTTCCCTAGGATATGCGCTCCCCCCGCCTCCACCACCACCACACCACCACCACCACCACCACCACCACCACCACCACCACCAGTTACATCCCAACGCCACCACCACCACCGCCACCACCACCACCTCCCCTACTGGTAAGAGATAGGTTATAAATAGTTTGCCTCTTAGATTTCAAGCGATTTCTTCTTGCTGATTTGTCTTTCTCTCTCTCTCTCTCTCTCTCTCTGTGTGTGTGCGCGCGCGTGTTTGTGTGGGCGCGCGTACGTACGAGCGTACGTGCAAATGCCCACTCTCGCACGTACGATACGCACACTCGTCGAGTGTAGCTCGTGACACCGGAAGTTGACTTCTGGAAACGAGAGAAGAGCAGAAGCCGAGGTAAAGCCCGGGGTGGTACCGTCGTTTCAAGCTTGGGGTGACGCGAAGGTGAACTTGCCGGTGTCGGAGCGTTCTCGATCCCCCTTAAACGTCCTCTTCGCTCGTCCGAGGCTGGGCGTCCTGGAGGGCCGGTTCCTCGCTTCTCCGACATATAATTTTCATCGGCTGACCGGCTGTGCGACTCGGGTGGCGCCGCGATACCGAACCACCGACAAATTGCCCTCGGAAGCAGCCGGTTACACTCGTACGAGGAGCAAGGACTGGCCGAGGCTGTCGTGGCCCCGTGTGACTGACGATCGCCGAATGGAGAAGAACCGAATATTTCTTAGCTCCTTCCATTTTTGTGCGTCGAGGAAGGGCGCGTGACAATCAATCAAGGGGTTCGACCGAGAGGCTCGTTCCGCCTGTCGGCTCACCTCCCCCATCGCACCGCCGACGCGTCGTCGCCGTTCCTCTTTCCGTCTTTTGTGCGCTCCGTCGGAGCCAAGCGGCCGAACCAACGGACTCCTTCCTTGCCGACTGCAGCAACGATGCAATACTCGTTTGGCGCTGATTTATTCGGATTTTTCGAAGTGTGCTGGCGTCGACCTCGTGCCGACTGATCCCCGTCCGCCCGCTCGTTTCAAACTTTCAGCGGCTCTCCGCGCTCGAGTATAACGTCGTGGGCGGGAAAGTCGCCGATCGAGACACGAGACGAGCAATGGGGCGCTACCTCGAGGCTAACGCGAGGAACCGCGCCATCCTATCACTCACCATCCATTGTCATGCCGTCATCACCATGTTAATGGATTTACGTAGAAATTATTCGATGATATTGTATATAGTATATACGCTTTTTCATACAACAATTAGAAGATAAGAAATAATGCGTTATGTGCAGATTTTATGTGTCGATTATTAAATATCAATACTCGAGTGTGCAATAATATAATTTAATGCTCTATAGTAGACAAAACATTAAGCATTTGTACTGTTTACTGTTAAATTCAAGAAGTTTCCGATAATACTCGTCGTATGCAGTGTTTTAGAACAAAAACTGGTTGGTCAAATAACACATTCAACTACATTATCTAATAAAAGTAATCTAATAAGTATATTTGACATATAATATTAGTGCATATAATAATAATAATTTTTTGAACACTCGACATTACTAACGAATGCGCGAGTGGTGTATCTTTGTCGAAAGTTGACACGTGCGTTTATAATAACTGTCGATAGTGTCGTAAAAAAGATTCGATTATTAACGGCTAAAGTAAAGGCCGCCAAGTAAAGATGCACCAAGAGACGAAATAGGAGAGCGTCGAGTGACAGTGGGTGGTGAGTGGTAGGATGGTGCGGTGTCTCGAGGTAGCGCCCCATTGCTCGTCTCGTGTCTCGATCGGCGACTTTCCCGCCCCCGACGTTATACTCGAACGCGGAGAGTCGCTGAAAGTTTGAAACGAGCGCGCGCACGGGGATCAGTCGGCACGAGGTTGAGTCTGCGCAAAATCCGAGAAAACGTCCGACCGCGGATGACTGGCTGGTTAGAGCAATTCAAGTTTCGTTGGATTATTATTACTTAGTATTATTATTATTATCTATGTTGTATTGTTGAATTTTTTTGAGAGGTATTAATCAATTTTTACATGATAGATGGTAATCGTTGTTATTGTGAGCAGGTGATACAGTTTTTTTGGATGAGTGGTGTATTTTAAGGAGTCGAGGCAGTTCGTTCCAATTTATTGGAATCGCTTTTCGTAAGTCTCGTCATTTCGATCATAACCTACACGTAGCACTCGGTGTTATCTACATTTCGTTCCAATTTCCATTTCTTTATTAATGTGATAAAATTTTTATATTATTTAGTCGATTATTTCATTTTGTGTTTATACTCCATGTAAATGATAAGCTTCCTATAAACATACATACATATATATATATATATATATATATATATATATATATATATAGACATATATCTATATACACATTCGTGCATATAAAAGCGCACACATATAATATATATATATATATATATATATATATATATGTGCATGGGCACTAGTGTGTATGTCTCGCGCTCGCATTGCATATTTATGCATATAGGCGAGTACATGCTTGCGTGCACAATAATTGTATTAATTAGTAATTTGTTTGATTGCAAGTACGTTTGAGACCTAATCAAATAATTTTACCACTTTACTTTTAATGCTATTTATGTGAATATTATTATGCAGGTTCCTTAATATATTAATGGTTATATATATTTTTTTTCACTCGTGTAATATTTAAAAGGAAAAAAAATGCATTTATTTTAATGCAAATATTCCCTTCCCTACTTTGTGTCTCAACCAAGTTTTGTAAAGTCAAGTACTCGTAATTGTTTCAGATAAAATGGGTTTGCTGGAACTGCAACAAAACCTGGTTGGACACAAAGGGAGAGTTTGGAATGTTTGTTGGCATCCTTCGGGTGAATCGATAGCATCGTGCGGCGAAGATAAAACTATTAGAATCTGGACGCACGACAAATCTAAATGGGTTATTAAGACCATATTAACCGAGGCGCATACAAGAACTATTAGGGAGGTCTCTTGGTCCCCTTGTGGCAATTACATTGCATCGGCAAGTTTTGATGCCACTGTAGCGATCTGGGATCAAAAATCAGGACAATTTGAGTGTAATACCACATTGGAGGGTCACGAGAATGAAGTAAAGAGTGTTAGTTGGTCTGTTTGTGGTAATTATTTAGCGACCTGTAGTCGTGATAAATCTGTGTGGGTTTGGGGTATGGGCGTTGATGAATACGAGTGCGAAGATGTTATAAATGCGCATACCCAAGATGTAAAAAAGGTATCTATATTAATAAATAATATTTTTTATATTTTCTCTTACGATTGTCAAAAATAAAAAGGTGTTTTTTTTTAGCTGAATAGTATAATTCAGAATCGAGTATCAACTTTTATAATGTGGGTTTTAATGTTTCTTAAAGTAGTAGTTGTTAACTGGTCATGAGTTTATAATTAAAAATGGACAAAATTAACATTAAACTACGATATTAAAGATAATGTATAATTTGATGAGCTCTTGTTAATTAAAATTGATAAAAATCTCTTAAATGGATAACGTTTAACTTTAAAATAACTTTAAAATAGTTTTATCTTATAATATTGCTGTTAATTAAGAATTCTGTCTTATATGTAAAATATTGAGTAAAAATTAAACACAAAATTGATGGAAATCAATGATTCATTAAGACACAATTACATGATGTAAATAACAAAATTTGTTATATTTATTTAATAATTACAGGTAAAGTGGCATCCGGACAAGTTGATTCTTGCATCTGCAAGCTATGACGATACCGTCAAGATTTTTGACATGGAACAACACACCAATCACTGGATTTGTGCGTCGAGTCTCGTATCTCACACGTCGACTGTTTGGAGTTTGTCTTTCGATAGAACGGGTGATAGATTGGTGACTTGTAGCGATGATAAAACTTTAAAAATATGGCAGGAGTACAAACCTGGTAACGAAGTGGGCATACCTACACCCGACAACGAGCCAATTTGGAAGTGCGTTTGTACCTTGTCTGGCTATCATTCCAGAACTATCTATGACGTAGATTGGTGTAAAAAAACTGGTTTAATCGTAACCGCATGCGGAGACGATATAATAAGGGTATTTCGCGAAGAAGGTGATTCTGATATACATCAGCCAACATTTAGCCTAGTTTGTAGTATGGACAATGCCCACACTCAAGATGTCAACTGCTCGCAATGGAATCCATGTATACCAGGCTTAATAGTTTCAGCAAGTGACGATGGGACTGTAAAAGTTTGGACTTACAGTGATTAAATTGTGTAAAAATTCTATATATTATTGAAAATATATACTTTTATTGTTATTTTCTAAAAAAAAAAAAAAAGAAAAAAAAAAATTTTTTGTTCTTAATTTTGTTTCATATAATATCCTAATCCTCATCGATTCTCACTAATTCATTGACACTGAACTATGTATGAAATGTATAATATCAATTGTTGTTATTACGAAAAAGAAAGGAAAAGAAGAAGAAAAAAAAGTATAAAAATTTATTATTTGTTTCAAGGAACATAATAAATGTTTGGATTCTTATTCAGAGTTTTAAAATTCAGTCATAAAACTCAATTTGCACAGAAGCTTCTGCAAAAAGCATATACAACTTGCGACATGAGTACTTATAATAAAAAAGGACTAGCATTAGGGGAAGTTATTAATTCACTTAATTCTTATGCAAATATAACGTATGCCGCATCATGGGACAATGTAGGATTACTTATTGAACCTACCGAGCCAAAGAATATTTCTCATATTTTATTAACCAATGATTTGACGGAAAAAGTCATGCAAGAAGCGATCGATATACAAACTGATATGATCATCTCCTATCATCCACCAATATTTAAGGCTTTAAGAACCGTCACTACCAACACATGGAAGGTACATTTTATCTCAGTTCTTTAATTTTTCTTAATTTCATTACTATGCTAATGTAAATTTGCTGTACATTTACAGGTAAAGATTTATAATTATAATAATATATCAGTGGGCTATTTAATAAAAATGCAATAAATTTTATACGTGTAATAATTGAAAGTACAACATATAACTGGAGATATTTGAACTTTGTAAAGAAATTGTAAAATTAGTCTTTAATTCGTGTAAAATATAATTGTTTGATTATTGAGAGTAATGATGTGTCCGAGCCAAGGTGGCTTTCAATTATTTCGTGAATCGCGACGATGAAGAAGAAGTGCTCCTGGAGTTAAAATTGATGGTCGATGCATTCAAATTTTCCGTCTTTTTCATTACTTTTTCATTATTTCATTATTACTCCGTTGTATCGTATGCTAGAGAAAATCATCCTACTTATACAGTTATAATATTCCATCGATCATCGCTCTTTTTTTCAATCGGAGTAAAAAAGTCAATGGGGATAAATATGCAAAGTTCGCAAATAAATACGTACAAACTTCCAATTAATAATAATAAGAGTACAATGAAAATCATTAATCATGAAGTTAATCTTCAAGTACATTTTTGTTCCAATTGTTGCCATAGATTACCGTTTTTTTCTTTTTTCTTTTTCTTTTTTTATACAGCTTCTTTCTTATTTCTATTATTTAATATTTTTGATTCGATTTATCAAATAGTCAAATACTAAAACCGAGTACTAATAAATTAAGCGGTTTGCCAATTATCACTTTCATTTAACAAAAATTGTATAAATATAATAATTTCATTTGAATTTATAAATTTAATAAGACTCGGATGTTTTTAATATATCCAATTTATATCCAGTTTGACGTTGTACCGCTTTTTAAATTTTTTTTTCATAAGTATTATGAAAGTCTGCGCTTAGGATTGCGCGCGCACGTAGTCAATTAGTACTATTAATAATATATCCTTAAGCATCGTTGTTGTTATATTTATCAATTTGAAATTATGTAAAAGTGAATTAATTAAAATTAATGAAATTGGTATAAAAGTGAAATGGGTATTATTATCTGTTAAATTAATAAATGTTTTTGCATAATTAATATTAATTAATCGTAGGAGCGCATCGTGGCCAAATGTCTAGAAAATAAAATTGCCTTGTATTCTCCGCACACTTCCTTTGACTCGATTCAAGGTGGAGTCAATGATTGGCTGACTTCTGCTTTTGATATAAAAGAAAGTTATCCAATAGAACCAGGAGAAGATCCTCGCATTGGTATGGGTAGATACTGTACCTTGAAGAATAAAATTACAGTAGATGAAGCAGTGAATCTAATTAAATATCACACGAGACTTGATTACGTTCGTTTAGCACGTGCAGTAAACTCGGGTAAAATTCCCATTTAAATACTATCTTTTTAAATATGCTGGTTAGTTAGCAATTTATTCTATGTGCATTAATAATATTATTTCACTTGAATTAATAAGAGAGAGAGAGAGAGAGAGAGAGAGAGAGAGACAGACAGAGAGCAAATAATTACAAATAATGCATAGTATTACCACTTATTATTAATATATATATATATATATATATATATATATATATATATATATATTATTTTTATCGATATATTGTTCAGTATATCGGAATAAAATAAACTGATATTTCGCGATCTATCGTTTACATAACTGACGCTTTTTTTCTAATTAATCCATAAATATAACTACATTCATTATCTATGTATGCAAATTCATATCAAATTATGCTCACAGCTTAATATTAAATACCGTCGGTACATTGCATATTATGCCGTACCATATAAATGTATACAATTTTTTAAAATTTACTTTAATTATTAAGATTATTCTAAAGATTGTTGAAAATGTTAATCCTTTCGCGTGTTTCGAAATTTCTACATAAATATTAATAATTTTAATAAATTTGAGAGAATGCGATTGTTGCGCATTGAATTTAATTGTACTTTTAATTGTAAGTTAAATGCGATGATTGATTCATTACTTTGGAAAAATTCACTTTATCTTAATGGGCGTTGTATTAAAAGAAAACTTTATATTAAAAATGATCGTCGAGTGAGAACTTTCAATATGCTGTAATATTTTTTATATCGTTGGTTAAGTAGTCGGTTATAGGCAAATTAAGATTTAATTAAACTTTCAGCAATGACAATTGAAAATTTATAAATTGAACGATAGCTATAATATTTTACAGCATTACAAAGTATCGCCGTCGCTCACATAAAATATCCATCTAATAATTTTTTTTTCTTTTTTTTTTAGTCGTTTTATAAACGCGTTTTTAAACAAAAAAAAACAAAAACAAACAAAAACAAAAACAAAAACAAAAAAAAAAAAACAAAAAAAAATTAGAAAATTTAAATAAAATAAATGATTCGCCGGAAAAATTGATTTATATACTATTGAACGTAAATTATTCGATAACATTCATTGTATATTTTATATACAGATGGATATGTAAGCAAAGTTGGTTTATGTGCTGGAGCTGGAACTTCCGTACTGCAGGGATTATCGGCCGATCTGTACGTGACCGGCGAAATGTTGCATCACGATATCCTCGATGCTGTTCACAAAGGCACCAGCGTCATTTTGACGAATCATTCGGATTCGGAGCGTGGATTTTTAAAGCATGTGTTTGCTAAGAAATTGAGCGATGCATTGAAAAATGCTGTTGCTATAAGCGTCTCCGTACAAGACGAGGATCCACTGAAAACCGTTTGAGGCGTTAATTTTCAATGGATAAACACTATGGATAAACAATGCAGTTCTTTGTTTATACGTGGATTATGACAGATGAGAAAAGAACTCGGGACCTTGAAATTGCTAGTGACATGTTGCAACGTGTGATTATTTTTAATGCCAAGACTATGTATAACAGATGGCATATATTGGTAAGATTTTTAATAATGTTTGTGATATATGCTCAAAGTGAATAAATGCATGGATTGAAAAATAATGGGAGAACTAGTGGTTATTTATAATTAGCATAAATCAAATGTTGCCGTTAGTATTACAAGGTATCGATTTAGAATTAAGAACGTTTATTGCTCATCAAGTCGGATAAGATAAAGATAATTAATGGGCTTTAAAGAGCGTAAAACTGGAATTGAAAAGTGCCGAGTCATATATCTCAAGGAAATAATGGTTTTCGGAAGAAGCCGAGTTACCATTAAAATACCTAGAGAGTAGTGGCTTTTCGGCACACCTTTTGCATTCCAGTCCCATCCGATAAACAACACACATTGGCAAATGTTGGAAAAAGTCACGCAGATCAAAGATAATAATTAGCGCGCAATGTCGTGATGCGCCTCCTCGGTCAGTCGCCCGCAATTCAGCGGCTGGCAAATTAGCATAAGCAGCCTCTTTATTCATTGCATTATAATGAGGGTTCGTTACTGTAAATTGGACAGGGCAACGAGGGCGCGAGTTAGCGGTTATGCAAACGTCCGGTAAAGGGTGACCGGTGAAATCGAGCGGCCTGGCGTTTAAGGAAAAGCTGGAGCACCCGAGGCGGACGATCCGCCTGGAAGGTCCAACTGGAACACCCTCGCCATCGCCGCCGCCACCGCTGTTGCCGAGACTTGTCCCACTCCTTCTTCTCTCTCCGTGGTCCCGTGCGCGCGCCCGGTCGTCCACTGTGCCAAGAACCGGATCCTGCGAGGGACGCGCGCGAGCCCTCAGTGTGCGAGAGGTAACGCAACCGGCTGCGCCGGGGGACCAAGAGGCGACGGGAGGATCGTACAACGGTGCATCTTCCTTGATTTTCCCAAATTTTTTCACGTGAGCCCGACCGATTATAATAGCACCTCCGCGGCCCTTCCGGGAACTCCACCCGAATGGCACTCGGGTACCGTTCCCCCGCTGATTGCCTGCTGCGGTCGCTTAAGGGAATACGCACTCGTCCGTGCCTCCTCGGTGGAAATTTCGTTTTTTATAACGGTGCGTCGCGCCGCTAAGGCGTACTCTCTCTCTCTCTCTCTCTCTCTCTCTCTATCGAAAATTGAATTTTCGTATTGCTCTAGGTGCTGCGGTGGGACGCCGAGTGTGAATGTAGCGGAGGAGGAGGGGTGAGAGGTGCGATATATTAGTTAGCCGCGTAGCTTAAAAGCCAGTAAATTTTTCTCTATCGTCGTTGAATGCTTTATTATCAATTATATCAAAAATATAGGCAGAATGTGCAGGGTGCTTGAAGCACTGTGGGTACTCGTGTCGGCGTTGTGGAATCAAGTATTGATAGGCGATAAATATATTATCATTTAAAATTCAAGCACGCAGGCACTTTCTTTTTTAATAAATACATCGAACGTAATGAATCTGTTTGCACAAATTAGTAATGTCTAGTGAATTTCATTATTTAAACTTTGGCCAAGTGCTTTTGTTTATTATCACGGGAGCATTTATATCAATTGGAATTAGCATCAATAAGAAAATCAATCCCATACTAAGTTTATTATTAAAAAAATCAAACTACATGCATTTCTATTATCATTTACTTATGTTTCTTGAATAAAAGAATTTTGGAATGGCATTGTAAACACCTTCTCTTATTAAATGAAAATTTGTATCGCTCGTGATTATGCAGCATAAACACAGGCAATAATTTATCGCAATATTGCACTTTAAAAACTATGGAAGATAAAAATTCTGTAAAGATACTTTAAAGGAGACGGTAGCTTAAACATTATTTCCCGAATATTGAAAAATTGGAGATACCAATCGTAATGTAGAAAAGTCAGAGAGAAAAAAAAAGCAATTAACTATTTATCGATGTAGTTATCTATCGCTATCGTACTTGTTGCGCTATTATAAGCTAGAAATATAGGGAGAAAGCCAGAAACAGAGTAAAAAGAAAAGTGTTAGAAATTTTAATCGATATTTTTCTAATTTACAAATGGAGAATTTCGCAAATAGTACGCGCTTCAAACTCTCGTTCTCCATTCATGTTATTTATTTATTAATTATTTGCTTGTATCTCGCATTATATGCATTAATGTAGTTATTTAAACTTGAATAATTCTACCAGTATCATAACTAACTACGCGCAGCATATTATAGAGTTCTCTAAAAGGAAATACTTTCTTGAATTATATTTTATTAGCCATGATCCGCGAGTAGCATGCTATTTTTTTTTTTATTATAACCTCCCCCCCCCCCCCCCCCCCCCCCCCCCCCCCCCCCCCCCCTCCGCCGCCCCACTCGCAATGACTTAAATACATACGATATTTCATGTAATTCAGCATTTCCTGTGTAAAACTTGAATTTCTTTTTATAAATTTTTCAACTTCACTCTGACGCCCATATGGAAAATGTCGGAAGCCAGATATAATTGCACTTTAGCAATTTTGAATAGCAAGGTATGAGTCATAATATATATTTTCCTACTTATCTCCCCGATGACTTACCAATACAAGACTTTCCCACCTGGAATTTCCAATAACGCGTTACCCAATAAGATTTGAGTATTAGCAATATACTACAACCGCGACCGATTGATATCGGGAGGAGGATCGGACACGACACGATAGGACCGAAATAATAGCCAATAAGTCTTAAAGAAAAAAAGCGGCTCGGCTCGTTGGGCTCCGGTAAGCTCTTGTAAATATATATGTCCAATTGCCGCCAAGTTGCACCCAACAATGAAAACTAGCAAACTAGCCAAAGCACTTATCGCAGTCGCGCTCTCTCTCTCTCTCTCTCTCTCTCTCTCTCTCTCTCTCTCTCTCTCTCTCCCTCCGTGGCGTCTCCGCGCGCACTTC